CGTTTGCGAGTGGGCCTGCCGATCATAATTGACGGACAAATTCGTACAAGATCCAAAGTACCAAATGCATGAGGATTGCTAAAATGTCGTGCACTTGAAGTCATGCAGGACTTGTCCCATCAACATCACTTCTGCTTGCTGCTATGGTCTCATCTCAGCCTCGTGTCGACACTCGCCCCTGACTTCCAAACTCCATGTTTTCGATGTCTCGAATCTCGGCCTGGATTCTGTGAAATCTCTCCAGGAAGCTAAGCCATCGAGTATCCTACTGACGGGGGACTTGAATTAACTCGCAACGGGCTAAGCTTGGAACGAAGATTTTCTGTGGAGCCCTGCGGCGAACCTGCTGACAAGTCACAACTGAAGCAGGTGGCGGCAAATCAGCTTTGCAAAGTCTCTTGTGCCGACTAGAACTGTAGTACTCGTGTCGGATCATCAACGCTTGAGAAGCGCTGAAGCAAAGCCTGCGCAATGTGCCAAAGCAGCTCATCCGGATCGCTGACACGACTCCGCAGCTCCTGAGCCGTGGTGCAGGCACGTTTTCGCCGGGGCATGCAATCTGCACGGTTGGGAAATGAAGGCCTCATTCAGGACTCGAGTGCAGCTTTCAAGATCTGGTTGAGCCTCAGCTGCAGGTGTTCCAACCAGCTGATATCAGACCAACCGGTGCATCTGGCACGAAACAATATCGCAACGCGTCCCAAATCGCAACGCGTCCCACTCAATCAAAAGCATCCTAAATTTGCTAGTGAGGCCATGTTGTCCAGGTAAACAACACAGCGAGGCATTGTACTTAATGATATTTTATTCTCAGCCGCCTGCTGCGTTGAATCTAAGTAATTAGACCTGAACGTGAGACATGGATATCCATATTCTCGTTGCAGCAGCTCTGCAAGCGTTTCACCACTATGAACACATTCCTACAGCATACAGAATATAGTCGCCCTTCAAACCTGCAGAGGACTGGTTGATCGCCCGGATATCTCGTACCAGTAGCAACTACGAGCAGCACCCAAATGTGGTTCTCACGTTCTCTGCCGAAACTAGAGCCAGCTCTCGGCCCACTTGGCAGATTCTTGAGTCTCGAGATCCGGACAGCATTCAAGCCACGTCGTCCATCTGGATGCAGAAGCTGGAACTCCTTTCAAATGAGAGCACTTGTCACATGTTTGAAGCCTTTGCGCTGGAAGTAGACACCAACGAGACGATTAGACATGGAATGAGATGGGGTTTATGACCTACAGGCAGACAGCTCAGAGCTTTGGAGGACAGCTGCTGGCCCTGGCTCAAACTATTGCTAAGCGGGGTCCAGGATGCGCAAGATGGCGATGGCAGTGCAATAGAGGACTACCTGGCAGTTGTAGCTCTTGCCGCAGGTCTCAGGGCATTGGCGGTGCTGTGTCCACTACCTCGCCGTCCAGCAAAAAGAGGTCCCATACCACCGAGGCAACATCTACACTCAAGCACCTAAGCACAGTGTCTAAGTTGAAAATCAGGGGCGACCTTCCGTGCTTTCTCCGTGCGATGCAGACACAACATAACTCAGTTGCACTTGCCATCGCGGCATGATGCTGAGCATGCCACTTAGCGAATACCGTCAAAAACCAATCGATGAGGAACCTCGCTTGACGCAGCGTGAGGGCCAAGATAGAGTCAACCGCTTCAAGACATACATGCAGAAGATGTCGCCTGATTCAGAGATGATCTTGCTACTGGCTTCACGTGCTATACTGAAGTAGTGTACTTCTAGAACCGCATCTTCCGCTGGCAACCTTTAGCAACAAACACCTCAATCATCGCAACGTCACAGGTACTTTAGAAGACTAACAAGAGCAGGTAGCAACAAACAGGTCTTAATCATGATCATCAGTCTAATCTTACAAAACACTCCGAGGGCAACACATTTCTGGCATCAGACCCACTTGCTGAATGCCTCAGGATGTCAAAAACATAATGGCGCTTCAATCAACGACAGTACCTATTGGCTCCATGCTCAATGCCGAGTAAAGCTGGTGATCGTTTGTCATTCAAGTGTCACGCTAAATGCATCCGAACCTCTAGCAGCTAAGCTGTGCGTGAAAGCCAGGGCCGGCACATCTGAACACTGCTGGTAGCTGTTGCGAACACAGCCTGAGTAAGGCAAGTTAACTGAGGCGCTGAGTACTCTTGATTCGCATGCCACTTCTTGCTGAGTGCCAGACTGCTCAAAGACACGAGCCTGAGGATGTGAAGGACACGAGGCGCACAGCCAGCGAACTTGCTGAGTTCCAGTCCCGACATGCAACTGCGTGAGGCTCGAGACGATAAAGCCCAAGTACCTTCTCATGAGAAGCTGTTGCACAATACACTTGTTCCACGCACCAAAAACCCGACTCAAACTGCGCCGGGGTCACAGAGGGGGTGTTCAGCAGGTTGCAAAGGCCAACCTGGCCAGAAGTTTTGTTTAACGCGCCACAGAGCCATCTCGTCCACTCAAACCTGTACAGCAGACGTTGCTGTAGCAGCTTCATTGCTCGCCCAGGAAAGCAGACAAGAGCAAGAATGATGCAGCATAATCAACTTGCTGCCCAGGCACGAAGGATTGGTAGGGAGGCAGATACAGAAGCAGCATTGCAGCCAAATAACTCCTCGGGGTACAAACACTTGAGTGATTCGAAGCTCTATAGGCAAAGCTGGCTGAGGCTCCAGCATTCCCTGCACATAGCCGATATCTGGACGGAAGAATGTGTAGGCCTTGACAGTCTTCCCGGTCTTTAGTCTTCAAGGCCACAATTAAATTGAGTCCCCTAAATCCCTGTAATATTTCCTCACTTTCCATTTAACTTTCCATTTTCTTTTCCGTTTGATTCTCCACTAAAGGGGGACAATATAGTAACCCTAAACCCTTAATGGGGTTACAGGTGTTATATACGGGTTATGTAGGGATAATGGAAAGAAAACGGATTTTAGGCCTGAGTTGCACCCGACACAAGCTTTCACAAATCTCACTCTTGCTATGGACAATCTCAATTTGCTCCTTGGTGAAGGAGATCTTCCAACAAAACTGATTTAGGTATACGGAAGCCTACCTCCACGTCCTTTCCCCCGCATACCTGTTGCTGCAGCTGCTGATGCCTCATGCTTTGCTAGCCATGCATATTTCCATTATTAATATTACTACTTTCTTCTTCACTATTCAATTCTTATTAGTTTGAATTCCAGCGCAGGACGTGTGAAGTCAGCTCATACACAACAACACTATATAACCTCTTATATACGCTATTATATGGTAGTTTCCATTTTCTTGTCCATTATCCCAATATAACCGCAAAATATACCCTATAATAACCCCAATATGTATACTATTATAGTAGTTTCCATTTTCTTGTCCATTATCCCCATATATAACCCCAATATATACCCTTTTTTGACCCTAATATGTACCCTATTAGCCTATTATAGTAGTTTCCATTTTATTTTCCAGTATCCCAATATAAACCCTTATTCATCCCTATATAACCCTGACTTAACTTATCTTGCAGCCTCGAAGTTGGGAGCAAGTCTTGATCAGGCTTGTCTCTGGCTGCAAGCCGTTATATGGGGGTTTCCCAAAATTCGGGGTACCCTTTTGGGGGCCCCTACAATAAGGATTATAGTATATTGGGGTATATATTGGAGTCCCCCTATTTAGGGAAACTGCCATAAGTGTACGCCAAATATCTAAAAAAGCACGCGACGCAGCGTACTGCTACAGTGAGCAGTTTGCAAACAGCGTGGCACCTCGAGGATTCGCGCGCAGTCTTCATGAAGGGGGCCGCCCTGTCAGGCAGGATCCTCTCTGTAGGATGCCCTGTGTCGGTACATCGTGTAACCCGGCCTCGCTAAAGAAAGCTAGCGTCGGAAAGGTGCGTGGCAGGTCCTCAACAAGGCTAAGCTACTACAGATGGACAGGAGAAGCTTCGTCTCTTGGCGCGGTCTCATTCAGGAAAGGTTAGATGAGACTAGGGGTAGAAAACCCGTGGGTGGTGGATACTACAACTGAGAGAGCCAATAACAGTGGACTGCACAACTGCAGACACATTTGCGGAATGTTGCAACTGGATTCCGTTTGGGCTTCCGGTAGGGTGTGTTCATGTAATTGTCTTATAGGCAACTTGAGTCATCTGGGCTTCCACAATAGGGTGCGTCCATGTCTTTTCTTTTACGCAGCTTGTGTCATTTGGGCTTCCACAACAGGATGCGTTCAAGATATTCTAGGCAAGTTTAGTTACGATTATAAAGTCCGGTACCTCGGATGAACCTGAAATGACTTTGCTAATCATGAGGCCCATGTAGTAGGTTTCAGGCCTACTCCCGACTCCCCGGTGAGATTGGCTGTTGCTAAGCAACATGGTTGCATGTTTTTGGATCTCTGAAAGCAAGGGTCCTTAAATCCCTATATTACACCAGTTTGCATTTCATTTTCTTTTCCATTTGATTCTCCATTCAAGGAGGATAATGTAGTAACCCTAAACCCTTTATGGGGTTACAGGGATTATATAGGGGTTATGTGGGGATGACCTTAAGCTCTTATGCCAAGAGATCATGACAGGAACATGGGCCATGGCATGGTTGAGGCTTATTACTACACACGGCAAGTATTCTGGACATCAATATGCGAAAAAAAGCCCGTTATATAGGCTTTAACACTTATCAATGTTGCAGTTCTAGATTGTCCGTATAGGTATAATATCTTATGCATAGTAGATCTTATTCTGCATGGAAAGTCTTCTAAAACCTCATGTCAAGGAAACAGCGACGTACATGGTGGACATCACAGCCAACCATGTGTTCTGATTGATTTCGTCTGCCTGAGGTAACAATTATGAGTTGACATTCTTGGCTTATCATATTTGCACTAGCTGGTTGTGATATCCCCCGTTCCTGCGTCCCTAAAACACGCACTGGAACCTCCTGTTGTGGTTGCGATGACCCACATCCGGTTGCACTATCCCCCTAGACGCGATAGCCCAGGCCCCGACAAAGGGAATGCACGTTGTGGATTGTTCCCGGCCACGAGTTGGCGGCCTTGGGACCGAGAAGCTTCTCTTGCGCTGCTTCGCAGATGCTTCACTGTTACGCTGGACCATGCTGGGTTCACAGATTTCAGTAAACAAGGTTTGCCAGGACAACTTGTTGAGGCAATCACGCATCTGTTAGAGTGATGAGCACGTTTGACGCCGTCTCCTGCAAAGCAACGCTGACCGTCATCATGCTTCTATTGCTCTCGAGATTCAGTAGATGTTCCATGCCAACTCAGTCAGCTGAAGCCGCATGAGGATCCCTGCATTTTGTGCCTGCGCCTTCCTGGCATCCACAGCGCGCTGCTTGTGGATTTCAAAAAGTTCAGGGGTTATCCGCAGCACCTCAGCTGTCAACCTACTGTCAGAGCTGCAGACATCTACAGACTGAAGGCTTGCAACTGCTGCTGCCGTTGTGAGTTTGGCTCCTTCATATTAGGACAGCTCGAGCATACAAATCCAGGTAACAAATCGAACTGCGAGAGCCCTATGCTGTTTTCTGAGCATCTACAGTGAGAGAGAGTTGCTGCAACAGCCTTGCGTGCATGCTTGTGCGTGAGCTACGGTTCGAAGGGGTAAGCACGCCACATTGCCAATGGCTATGGGCCACACCACCTGCAGGCAGCGCAATGCAGATCCGATGATATTGAGAGATTGCTGCGTTCATGTATTTTGAGAATGCTCTTGAAGACCATCAGCTTTACCATTCAAACGCGGAGGGGTTGTTTTCGCCTCGCGGACCCGCGGGGGCAGACCCTGGCGCCAAAGGCGCTGCATGCGCTGCGAGGGCTCCAAGCCTTCTCAGTGACTGGCTGAACCAGATCTCTGAAGAGCTTAGGCATCACGTTTGCAGTGGAAAGTATCTGAAGGCGCCTGGAACAAATTTCGGAAGCAGCTCTTTCAGCCATACGTCTGTGTGCTCCTGAGTCAAAGAAAGCTTGAGACCGACCTGCTTTACTATGCTTTTGTAGCTACATGTTGCTGTTTGGCTTTTCTGCTTGCTTGTGGTACAGATCGCTTGCATCCCCTGCCGCTCTGACACATGAACAATGCGAAAAGATGCCATCGATGATGGTAAGAAGAATACAAGAGTAATGGCATTAGTACTGGTACTGGTATTTTTGATAGTAGCCGCAACAATGACAAGAACATCAACAGTAATAACGATGTTCCTACACTACTACTACTACTACTAGGTAAC